AGTGTGGGGTCTGGTAAGTACGAGGTAGTAAAATTATGAAATCCAATAGAGTGTGTTTTAAAGCCCCTGCTACGCCGGGCTTACTCTGAGCTCGCTCTCTACGCCAACTATTGTGACTTCGGGCTGTCCTCACTTCACTCTTCCCTCAACCCAGGCCTCTCTCTCCACTTCGCTAGGACTAAGTGATATCGCCTATGGAAAACATCTTTCTTAAGGCCCTACACTGTTGAAGTGTGCATATATTCTTTAACGCGTCATTTCAACTTTAAGAGAATGTCACACTGTGTCCTGTCTGATCAGACTCTTTAAAAAGATTTCATTATACACGCGGTATGATTTCGCATCACTTGAAGACGGCGACCTCATACAAAGGAAAATGGAAGCGACTACGGAGCTGCTGTACGGGATGGGAGAGCTGCCTATCTCCTACCCTATCGCTATTGCTAGGTTACAGATCACACCTGGCTTTACATGGGTCCTGGGGACCTGAACTCCATCCTCCTGTGCTTACAGTGGTCATTTTGGTAATTGAGCCATCTCCCCAGGCCCTGGAATCTGTTCCCTAAGGGACACAGAGAAGACCTCATAGGTGATAAGCTAGTGGTTTCTGTTCATTCCCACAAAAATCTACCCCAAATTTGAGAAGGGTTGATGGTCTGGAAGAAAATATATTGTTTAAATGGCCAAACTTGTCACTTCTACGCAGCTGGCTTCAGACGGGGCAGGGATTATAGTTTCCATAGCCTTTTGATAGCAATTCCTTCGACTGTCAAGAGGCAGAGCGAGATTAAGCGATTTCCCAGATTTTAACAATGAAACTCTTAGGACTGGGGCTCAAATTCTCACATCCCTCCAATAGTCTTCCCCCATGTAATATTTCATGTGATCCTCATTTCCTTAGCAAACATGTGCTATGTAGTAGGTTTAAGTCTGTTGGGAATCAGGAAAATTCACTGGAGATGGAGAGAAATGTACCCGAATTCTCAAAGCATGCCCAGAACATACAAAAATAAAATAAAATAAAATAAAAGTACAAGTGCTACTGTTCGCTTGGGTAAACTGAGTCAGGGAGGCAGGAGCTGCTAATGTCTGAACTAACATCTGCACTGTGTTCATTGCTGTCAGCGTCGCCATGACTAAGCCAACCCTGTCACATCTGCCAGCTCTTCCAGTTCCGGCCTCAGCTTTCTCTCTAAAGGGGAGTCGCTGCAGGCAGGAGCACCGAGTTGGAACCCTTAAGAGCTGGGTCCAGGTTTTAAAGTCACGGTGGATCTCCACATTTACTATTTGGGGACTAGGCCCAAAAGAGACTCAAAACGCTGGTTGGGTACTTATCTTAAGTCAATACACCGTTTGGAAATACCAACACAGAATGTATTTTCCCCCAAAAAATTACTTCAAAAATATCACAGCTTCTCCAGACTTTTATCCAAATGACCTGAAATCTTTCTCCGCGAAGATGTCAAACACAGCTCACAGAGCTGTTTCTAAATCAGTTCCTGGTGATTTCAATGCCACCAGGTACAGGAAGTCCACGCAGATGTCAAAACATCTGGCCCATCTCTTAAATGTGAGCTTTCAGTATCGGATGCCGAATCTACAAGATGACAAGTAAGCCCTCAGGGTGGCTGTCTCCATGGGAGAGGACCAGCTGGTTCGGCACTGGGTCCTAGGGCTGCGGAAAGACCCGGTGTGTGCTCAGGGTTGAGAACGGAAGAGGTGCAGGCCGGAAGGCAGGCCGCACTCTTTTTACTCTTCCCGACAGCAGGCTTGATGTTCCATTGAGTCATTTTCCTCACGCCGGCTCTGCCGTTCAAACACTGTAATTATTTCATATATTTTTACCTAGTTATTATCTTACTCACCACAGGCACCTGTAATTTTTCTGTATTTTTTTAACTGCTCATTTACTTATTCTTAATTCAGCTAATAATGGTGCCATGTATTAAAATTATCACAGGGAAAGTAAGTGAAAACCTCCTAGGATGTGGAGACAGCAGATTCATTACAGCCTACAACGGGGAATAAAATATTATGTATACTTTTTGCAGTAAGTACATGCTAATTATGCAGCTATTTATAAAACACTTATCAACATTCAGACTGATACTCCTCAATGTTGTTGTTTTCGAAAACCCTGCTTTGCATACAAGATCTCTGCTTGCAACCTGAAAACAAACTTTGGGGGTCACCTGCCCCCCGAGAAGGCAAAGCTTTAGCCGGCCTTGCCCGGTGCCAAACTCCTCTCACGATGGCACACTCGCCATGGTGGTATTTAATGGGATGCCAAGGTTTATAACGTGCGTTCACACACAGAGCCCCATTTGATCTTCACGACACGCCAGAGAGTGGGGAGGGCAGGGATAATTCCTCCTATTATACCGAGGGTCACCACGGGGTTACACATAATTGCCCATGTGGTTGGGAAGCTGTGAACCTTCCACATGACCCTCTGGCTTCAGAACACTTGCTCTTCCCTCTCTGACCTGGGGCCTCTTTGCTGCCTGTACGCCCTGGGGAGCAGTTCAACACTCTGGCCACTGTCCTTTTCTCAGATGGGTGCTCGGGCTCTAGAATGGGATGGCCAGGTTCACACGTGATCTGTCTGCATAGATGCTCTTCGGTTAGCTTCAAAGCCAAGGGTGGAATGGGCTAACGTAAGACGCCAGGCCTACTTCTGCAGCAGATGGAGTGTTTAGCAGACCTTAGCCGTGGTACTTCTCGCTGCCCTACCTTTGGACCGACTCTAATCAGTGACCCTGTTCCGACCAACACACATTGCTCCCGTGTTTATGTGCAACTGCTAACGCCAGGCTTCCAGAAGCATCTACGGTGCTGTCACCATCTTTACGCATCTCTCATTTTCTTGCTTAGTTTTCCTCCGTTGATTTTCAGAATTTCTGCCTTTAGAAGCCCCTGCCTCTTAGGGTTCACCTTTCAAGTTTCAAAGGCAGGGTCTGCACTGACTTGGGTTCACACTTTCTGTTAACACTGGGTGGAATTGGGCGCACCTTTGTAAACTGCCTAATCTCAGCTCTCCTACAGGAGGAAGCAGGTTGGAGAGGCCACACCCCACAGTACTGATTGATATGAGCTGAGAAAACGTCTTTGAGGAACTTTGCTGCTTATCTGCCAAGACGTTTTTTCCTTCAAATCAAGGCATCACGTTCATAGCAGCAAATCAACATTTCCTTTCCAGGAAGAAATCCTCAAACGGCACGACTGCCGAGGGGAAGTGTTCTGAGGGCGACAGACAGACAGACAGACTTTTCCCAGCATTAAATAGGGGTTATAATGTATTCAGCTTCCAGGAAACTGAAGTTGGCAAATTTTCCTTTTAGAAATCTACAGAGGGCCTGGGGAGATGGCTGAGAACTTAAGAACACTTAACTGCTGTTCCAGAGAACTCAAGCTCAGTTCCCAGCACCCACACTGGGCAGTTCACAACAGCCTGGAACCCCAGCTCCAGGGGTATCCAATGCCTTTGACCTCCATGGGTACCCACACTCGTTTGCACATACCCATATGCAGACATACAAGTGCACATAATTAAAAATAATAAGAATAAGTCTTAAAAATAAATCTAAAGAATGTCCCCGAAAGCTCACTTCATCTAAAGACTATGAACTTAACTGCTTTATTAATAATCTTCTGTCTGCAACAGAAACAAGTTTTGATATGCATTCCCGTTGAGAGCCCCCGCCAATTCATAAAGACAACATTTCCTGATCAGGTTCACAGAGCCATGACTGATGGGGACACTGTCTTCTCAGAATGAGACCCTGTTATGTTTGTTTCTATATAGGAACAAGATACATAAAAAGACAGTTTTAGCTAGAACTTAGTAGCACATCTATATTCCATTTTGCCTTTTTAATTCGGGAAACTAAATAAATTACTTTCATATCAAAAGCATAAAATTTGTCCTGATACTCAGCCAAAGAAAATTAGTATGCTAATAGAAAATATTGAACTAAAAATTACTGCTGTAGTTAAAATTCTATACATTTAAATATAACCCATTTATCACTTAGGATCCTTTTAGCTTCAGTCAGATTTCATTCTAAATAACAAAGACTGGTATTCACTGACATAAAAAAAACTATTGGCAGGGTAAGTTCCAGACTGGTCCAAATGCTGACGATACCATCACAGCCCCCATCTTTGTGACTGCAGACTCATCTCAGGTTTATCCTTGAGTTCTTCACTTTCCTTACCGTCCCTGGATGGTTAGTCCTAGAAACTGGGCTTAGAGGCTTCCTGTTCTGTCTTAAATATTTCCATTGTTTTTGCCCGGAAACCCAAGAAGCCTTTCTCTGAATGTTCACTGGCCCAGTCTACACGGGGGGCCTCGAGATTGTCTGCAAGGGCAGCTAACACTAAGCCTGCCAGCCTGGTCTCCAGTGATGGCTTGCGTAAGAGGTGAGGCAACTGGAACACAGACTGCCAACAGCTACGTCCCTGTGACATGGCCTTCCTGGCAGTAGATTCAGACTCGCCAGTGTGTTCCTTGGTCCTCCCGGCCTCAATCCCTCTTCTGTGTCAAATGAGACAAGTAATACATCTTCTCTTTTGGCCTCGTGTTTGAGGAACGGATATTGGAAAAGCGAACAATACGAAAACACTCAATATCGGGCCGTAGTCATCGAATTTCAAATACAGTTAACTCATAGTGGTCACCCACTGGGCTGAGGGCTATGGTAGAGTTCAATCTCAAAATCTCAAAGCAGAAAATGAAGACACCAGGAGAGCAATTTGGTTAAAAAAAAAAAAAAGAACCCCCTAACACTGTAAACAAAACATTCCATCTCTCCCCTTTCCTTCCCCCATTTCCCCCAAATCTTGGCATGTTTTTTTTTTCATAAAACTCTTAACCGTAGAAAGATGTCAGGTGGAGTTTTCTCTTGCTCTTTCCACGGCAACCGGAAAGCTTCGTGGGAACAGTGTTGTGAAAATGGCAACAACTGTTTATTACCAGAAAGATATTCCGTGGCCTGGAAAGATATTCATAAAACCTTGTTGTAGTGAAAAAGCATATGAAATGATAACACGGTCCCATTCTTGTATTTACAACTATATATCAGGCTGGGGAGATGGCCAAGCTGACGAAAGCCTTGTTGTATAAGCGTGAGGACGTCAAGTTGACACCTAGCACCCGCCTAAAAAAGCCAGGTATGGTGATGTGTACTTGTAAGCTCAGAGCTGGAAGGTATGGGCGGGTGGATCCCTAGGGCTCACGGACCAGCCTAGCCTAATGACCTAGCCCGGTGTCCTAGTGAGAGACCCTGCCTCAAAAACCAGCATGGATTGGTCCTGAGGAACGGCACCCAAGGCTAACTTCTGGCCTTCACATATATACATGTGCATGTATGCCCTTGTGTGTGTGAACACACATGCACACACACACACACACACGCACACACGCACGCGTGCACACACAGAAGTGGGAGACAGAATGAGAATTTCCTTAAAAGTATTTATCTACATGTATTAAAAAGGATGACTAGAATACACACCGAAATGTTAGTCATAGTTCCATCTGGGAAATGATAAGGTTTTATATACGGGCAGCTTTAATTTTCTTTTTAAACTAAAGGAAAATTGAATTGAATTTTAAATGCAGATTTTTTTCAAAAGATTTAAAAAGCTGGCGATGAAAAGTATAGAAGTGAACAAATATGATTTTAAGACTCATTATAAAGCACTTGTATTCATCAGGTCAAATCATGTCCAAAGTGTATCTAATGAATAGAGTCTCTCTCATTAGCACATAAAAGGGCTGATATATTAATGTTAAACTGAGTTCTACCACCTTTTTTTTCCATGTTAAAAGCAAAACTGGAAGAGACACACAATGTGGATTAAGGACAGAAATAGGTGTCAGTGGCTCGGGCTTGAATCTTTTCTGTGCTGGTAATTACCTTTCTCAGAGCAAATCATAATTTTTCATTATCCTCGTTTATTGATTTGGAAAAAGAACAGGGAAAAAAATACTGAGTACTTCTTTGCAGAGCTGCTGTGAAAAGTCAGGGATGTCAAGCACTCTGAAAACACTCTGTACTTTACCAAACCCACCAAGTCACAAAATGTGCTTAAGTAATTCCCCGTCTCTGCGCCTGTGCTAGGAAGGAGGGAGTCAACTGACTTTCCTGAGTGCTATTCAACATCCCTGCCGCTTCTGGGGTGCAGCAAACATGCACACACATACACACACCACATACATACACAATGCATACATGCATATACACATATATGTTGCTGTTGCTTTGCCTGATCATCAGCCATTTCTCCATTCATTCTCTCTTGTCAGGCTTCCTCTATAAGCCTATACAGAAAGTCTTTCACCTCCCCTTGCCCAGATGCCTACGGATCGCAATGCCAAGTAGACCCTCATTCCCAAGGATGTGGGAAAGAGGCAAAGGCACCGAAGGCTTGGTGTGGATCTGTCCCACCAGTAAGGCCTTAAGTTCCTGCTTGCTCAAGCCCCTTCCTAAGGCTCATTGGAATATCCCTTTTGCCAAGTTATCCCATTACCTTCGGATGGGTTCCCTTCTTCCTTAAGTTAGTCACAGTTGGTTTGTGTTGCTTGTAACCAGAAAAGTAGCTCACCTAATGGCCCTATCCACGCCATCTCCTTGAGAGGAAAGGAGGGCTGAGAACTGTAATATACACGCCCTTACACATATATGACCTTGAGGATAGAGCCCCGGCCCTTTTCTTATTCATGCCTTCCCAGGACATCATCTCCAGCCATCACAGAACAGTCCTCATTAGAATCTCCTGCCCTCAAACATAAGGCCGAAGCTTTTGCAGCCTGATGTGGTAGCCACTAACCTCATGCCACAATGTAAACTTAAAACAAGGACAGTTAATCAAATCAAATTCAGTTTTGCAATCCCAGTTTAACTTAGTAGCCACTGAACTAACATTAGGTTGAACCGTAGTGACTAGACTATGTCATGGCCCAGAGCCTCACTTTCAATTCTCTCCACCTGCAAGAAAAACTCTTTATTAGCTTGTTGGAATATCCCTGGGTTCTCTAGGGAAATATCCAAATGGGATCCCTAAGGGTCTTCATATTCTAGAAACTATTAGAACCGAAAAGGCCTCTTCTTCTTCTTCCTCGCCCTTTTAAAGAATCTTTTAAAGAGCCCCAAGAATGTTTAATACAGGTAGAAGTTCTATAAGACATTTTCTTTGATTTAAACAAGGCCCTTTTGTTTTACCCAGCTGAAGCAAAGGTAAACCTGTATAAAATGCAATGTACAGTCAAGAAATGTCCTTTTTTTTTTTTTTTTTTTTTTTTTTTGAGACAGGGTTTGTGTAACAGCTCTAGCTACTAGCTATCCTGGAACTTACTCTGTAGACTGTCCTTGAACTCACAGAGACCCACCTGCCTCTGCCTGCCAAGTGCTGGAATTAAAGGCGAGCACCATCACTGTCTGGCAAGAAATGTTCTTAAACTGCAATTAAAGGTTATAGAACCACTAAAAATTTAAGTAAGCTTTTAAAGAGATCACTTATAGAGAAACCAAATGATAAACTCCAGAGGAGCGTTGGGGATACTACTCCACGTTTGGGGGTGCTCGCTCTAAGGTCCACATTTGCAAAGGAATGCTAAGGCTAACTCAACAGAATCTTGTGCAGATAAGCTGATGGTATATAGTCCAAAGCTCTTAGGAGAGTGTCTGAAACTCGGAGCTGATCCAAGCTAGAATGGTGAAGAGAATTTAAGTCTTCAAAGAGCCCGGTGGGAAGGAGGAAGTCAGAAGGTACCAGGTAGTGTGAGTTACAGCCCTTTCTATAGCCCAGCTTTCCCTAGTCTGCTGAGAAAGGAGTTGGCACCAGAAACGCAGGTCCCCTGTGTCTGTGTTGTTTTACTTTCTTTCTTCTTCCCCTAGCCAGCACCATCGTCCCCGCCCCTCTCTGCCTGGGCGTGGCATGAGCCTTCCCTCCGGAGCTGCTCTTTTCAAAACAAGCCTGCATCATGAACGCTCTGAGTCCCTCTTAAAGGGAGAAGCTAAGAAATGAAGAGACAGGCACAAGCGTCGTGTGGGAGCTTTAAGTTAGAAAGCCAGGGCTTGGCCCACCCGAACCCTCACGTTCTTTTGGTTTCTCTTGCTTTTAGGCTTACTGGCATGCTAATCACTGAGAAAAAATAAGGCGCGCTCAGTAGCGGTTTTTATTTTCCTTCCAGCAAATCTCAAAGGTCTCATAATGATCGTCACATATAGAGAGGAGAGAGCATGAGGAGGCCCCGAATATGTTAATTTTACTTCACAAAACTGAAGATGAGCCCGAAAGAATCCATAATATAGGTAAGACTCATTAAGCTGTCATTACTTTGGAAATATAGTTTCCAGGCAAATAAACACCCAAATCTCACTCTCGCAGCTCCCTCTGAGTAATGCATTCAACTCAAATCTCCCATCCTCACCTTCTGTTGACTTCAGAGAGAATTACGGGTGAGCTAGGAAATGAGAATGAGGTAGGACAATTAGAATCCTGAGAAAGGAAAACATGGCAGCATTGATTGGCTTGCTCAAAAAAGAAATAAAGTGACAATCTCTTTGAGTATATTTAATTGCTCAAGAAGGGCAAAGTGTTTGGGGGTCAAAGCTTTTTTGCGACTTTAGAAATAATGCAGAATTGGAAAATAAACTTTCACGTCTCTTCCAAAATCGAGGGAAACCCCACCCACAAAATTCACTTCCTTTTTTCAGTTTAGCGTTTTGGATGCCTGCGATGCCAAGCTCACCAACTGGTTGGCTCACACCATTTTTGAAAAGGTGCCATAAACCAAATGCAGTCTTTGGTCTATCTAGCGGACTGTCCTTAGTCTTGTGTCTTTGTTTTAAGACAATGTTATGTAATGGGGGTGGGGAATCAATCTCAGAAGAAATGTCAGCCTTGCCTTCCTGAGTGCACGGTTTAGCTTGGGTTCATCTTTTCTGACATCCGGTTGAAGACTGAATGACATTTAAGGTTTTAAGCAGTAGTGAGATCTTTAAGGGACAATTAGTCATGGAGGTGCTGTCCTCTGGATGGATTAATGTCTCTCTCTGAGGACAGGGCTAACACCTCAGGGAGCGGAGTGATGTCTCACTCTCTGGGACTGAGGAGTCACTGTGAGGACTGGCTGTTCTGAAGTGAGGAAGCCACACTTTGTGTTTTGTCTCTCCTGCACATGCCTGCCCACAATTCTGCTTTTGTCATTTAATGCCACAGGGCAAAGTCTTGACAGATGCAGCTGTCTGGTCCCCACAACTTCCATCTTCCAGAACTGTGAGCTATACCAACTTTGTTCTTTATAAACAGCCCGGTGTTGAGAATTTTGTTAGAGCAATGGAGAAGCGGACCGAGACACTGAGGTAAACTGGCTGGTACTTCATACACCTAGTAAAACCATAGACAACAACAGGCAGATGGCCTTCTAACCCGGGAAAACGCTGGCATCTTAGAGTCTAATATGAGTAAAACGTAGAGCACCGCCTAAGCCACGACTTACCTTCGGCAGATGGAACGAGGCAATGGCTGGGTACGTGTGGGGGTTTCTGAGAGTAGACACTTACCACAGCAAAAGGATATTGGGCCACCAGGGCAGGGCAAAGCTGGGTATTTGGCATAAAAACACAGTGCATCATAACAAAGTCGTTTAAAACTGAGTCTGGAAAGGTGAAAAGAGAGATTACGTTCTTGTGGTCATTTTAGGCAGCAAGGGGATACGCCTGTTCTTAAGGGTTATTTAGGCATGCGTGTCTGTGTGGGAGTGCCTTCTTCTGAAATTAATGATACAAACAAAGCTTGAGATCAAAATTCAATTTCTTAGGACAGCGAAAAAATATCTACAAAAAAAAGTTAGCCTTGTGTGAGCAGCTTTGTTCGCTTTAGCCACAATTAATTTTTTTTTTTTCTGTGCTGGGACCTTACAAACACTGAGCAACTCTACCATGAGCTATCACACCAATCTACATGCCTAAATATCTATATCTATATATGTTATTTGCATGTTGAACATATTTTTATATTAAAGAATTGTACGGGACAGGAGCACGAGACTGCATTAACACACAGCCATCTGTCTGTTTTATACCCACTTTGTTGCAATATCTCTCTCCTTTTATCTTTGTTTTTACCTCCCTCCAGAAGGAGCAGGACAGGCGAGAGGAGGGAAGAACCTCGGGGAAACGGAGAGAGGAAAAGCACAGAACTGGGGGGCCGCGGGGCTCAGCCAAAACAGACACCATAAGGCCTGTGAGCTGCGCCGGAAATGGCAAAAGCCAGCCCGTGGATGAGAGCAGCGGCCTGCTCTGTGCCGGGTAAGAAGGGAAGGGTGAGGGAAGGAAGGCTCGTCCCAGGACTGAGTTCTATTTACCGCAGAGCCAGCACGCATGGTGCTTCTTTAGTGCAAGGATGACATTTTGCAAGCATTCTCGAAGGGAACACGTGTGCAGACAAACCTAAAAGCCCCGGAAGGAACTTTACTGAAACTCAGATCCCAAGGTGTTCTTTTAATTAAAAGGAAAAAAAAAAAAAAGGAAATGGAATGGGTTGGGGTGGTGGTCCCTACCTGTCAAGGCTTGTGGAACTTTCTGAGTAGAAAATGGTGGAAATGTGAAATTTTAAATCAGATTTCCAATCCAATGTCTTTAGCGATCGTATACCGCAGAGCCTGAATCTATGGCTAAGATTTAATCACTGTATGCGTAATCAGTGTAGTATGTTGTAAAGTCAAGCTGCCATTCCCAGGTGTCACTGGGCATTCTACGCTGGCTCCTTATGCTCAGCCTGCGAGGGGGCCTGAGAGAAGCTGTCCTGACCTTAGTTACAGAAGGACACTGCTGCTCTGGCTTTGGGGAATGCTTGCCTTTCGTGACACCCAGAAGGTCTGTGCTCTAGAGTCCTTTAAATTCTCTTTATTTGCTTATTTGTTCTAGTGGTGCCCGGGATCAAACCCACGCCCGTGAACACACTCGGCAAGAGCTCTAGCAATGAGCTATATTCCCAGCCCCACAGGACTTTCTGATTTGCCAAGGCAGAGATTGGCCACGGGTTCCTGAAGGCTGAGGAGCTGGTTGCAGCATGACCAATCTCCCAGCACTCCCCTTCTCCCCCTCACTTTATTTTGTTTGTGATAGGGTCTCTCTACATAGCCCAGGTTGTCCTGGAACTCACTAGGGAGAATCAGGCTGGCTTAGAACCCACAGAGACCTACCTGCCTCTGCCCCACAAGTGCTGGAATTAAAGGCACACGCCACCACAACCGGACTCACGTTTCAATGTGGTCTTTCTCTCTATTCATGGACAACAACTCTTGAAAATTTATTTCAAATAGCCATACCCTAGAAAAGACTGTCCCAGTAATTTGCTGACTGATGCTGGTCACAGAAGTCAAAAGGCTCGGACGCTCACAGATCTTAAGTAGGAAGGCACACTGACAGTCGGGTACATCAGGAGGATCTAGTGCCATAGCCAGACGCGTTCATTTCCTTAGTGCATCCAGGCTCCATGTGCTCCCTACACTATGGACCACAAGTTCCTTCCTTCCCACTCTATCCACAATTCATGGACCTGACCTGGAGTTATTTTTCGTGTCTGCAGCAGTAATGGGGACTACTTATAAAAAACCTCAGGGAAACTGCAGTGAATGAAGTATTATATTGAACAGGACACCGGCCATGGAGACAGATACGCACAGAGGAAGACCATGCGAAGACTCACTGGCCAGTGTGACACTGGGGTGGTGCATCCACATGTAGAGAAATACCAAAGATTGCCAAGGGACACCAAAAGCTACTGAGAGGCATGGGACAGACTCTCATCAGAGCCCTCCAAGCCCCCATAAAGAAATCAGCGTACTACTACCGCCATCTTGGAGTACACCTTCAGAACTGCGGGGCAATCGGAGGCCATTTTCCCGAGCAACCGGCAGTAAACCAACACAGCTGGTACTTAGTTACACTCCAGAATAAGACCACCACAGAGAGAAGGGTTTATCCTTGGGGTGGGCAGCTTCAAATGTTCTATGACAAACTAACAGACACTTCAGGGTGTGGGTGGGACTGGATGGCATTTTAACAGATGTCTACAAAAGTCTACGCCTCATGAGCTTGAACAAAACTGCATCACGGCCAGGGACAGGTGAGCTCGGCACCACCCAGGGATGATCTTTGAGAACGAGTGCACCTGACACCCCTCTAGGACTTCCTCGGCAGCACACACTGACAGAGAATCGGGGTTTTCTTCCTCACAATTCCACACGTGGACTTACTGGACACACAAAACTCTCGTGGGTGCGTACCTGTTGCTTCATTCAAAGACGGCTCAAGGCGTATTGTTTCTAAAAAATGCTCTAAAATTTTTTCAGGCGTTCCTGACATCACAGTGTACCTGGACAAGAAATCAAAACGGCATTAGTTTTACACCAGTGAGCATTCATGGCGAGAAACAAATTACTGATGTATAGTTTTGAAAACTGAGATGTCATATGACTACTCATGACTAGTATGCCCTCCGTGGTGAGGGAGACCGTGTGCACTGCCCAGGAACGCAAGAAGGCAAGGGAAAGACAGTCAACAGAAGCGGTTACACAAAATGTTCTTTCTCCCCCACGTGGAACTAGAGGACCATCTCAGAGAGCAGCCCCCACAGCTGGAGCTGAGGAGCGCCAGCCTTATTCCAAGGGAAAATGAAAAGTAGTCTATAACCCCTGGAGTAGGACAGGGCCCGGCAGGGAGGGGAGCTGCTGGGGAAAAATGATGGTGGACTGGGTTATCCAGACATGGGTTACTCCTAGAAGATGTCAGTGTCACACTGGATTTCCTTGTCAGTTTCTAGAATGTTCCGTCTTTTCCAGCTGCACACTGCTGTGTGCTTTGGAACTCAGCTAATAATAAACAAAGCGAAACAAAGTCCCCAAGTGCCAGTGAGCAAACAAACCCAGAGAGCGTCAGGCATGGGAAGTGAATCAGAAATAGGAAACCACATGTAACTTATTCAATGTCAAATTTGAATTATTTTAGGGGCTGCATTAGTCATTACTTCAGGGGATCTATTCGGGGCGCTCTCCAATCAACGAGAGAAGGCTTACTTTGAAAATGGGATGGGGGTTAAAGTCAGAGTGAAGACAGGGGCGACCAGCAAGTGATAGCTGTAGGGGGCAGAGGACATGAAGATGATGCAGGTGTCAGTCAGAACTCAGACCTGGCCTTCCCGCTTGGCTCAGTGACAGGAAAGGAGTATCACAATGCAAAGAACATGCTCTTGTGTTTGGAAAGCAGAGACAGAATGGAGCTCAGGGGAACCCTGCTTCCTTTGCTTCTTCACCAATACGCTTTTCCTGCCCATTTGAGACTGGGGAGAAGGTGTGGGGAGAAGACAAGAGCATCTGCAACATCACTAGGGTCTTACCTCCTGCCCGAGGGATGGAAGAGACACGAGAGAATGTGACCCTGTGCATACGAAACAGAGTGAGTAAAACAGCCCCGGAAACAGAACTCAGGGCCTCGTGTGTACCAGGCAAGCTCTCCGCTACTGAGCCACAGCTCAGACATATGAATATGATTCACAGACGAGCTGCCAGAGGAGGACCATATGACCACGTTAGCCAGGAAATGGAGGGGCAGGGGCAGTGGACAGGGCAGCTACACCTGCCTGGTGTTTACTATGCCCCGACAACTAGGTGGGGTCTGGAATAGGTACCCCTGTTTATTCATGCTAGTTAATACCACCTCTGCTCTGCAGGTGGGGAAACTGGCAAGCCTTAGAGAATGCTATTGCGTGTGACTGTTTGCCTGTTTCTATCCAGCAAGACGCTCTGGTGGAGAGAGGCCTGGCCACCAGGAGCTCACTCTGAGCAGGAAATTCCCCTTTGTCACCAAGAGTCTTGCTCTTTGATGGGACTTCCCTGTTCTGTTTGGAAAGCAATTTGTATTTAAAGAAGAGGTCAATGCATTCTTTAACTGAACACCCTTCACGTCACTTGTTGTTTGGTGAGCCAGAACCGCTGGTAAAGCATCCTTTGTCAGAACTTTAATTCTGAAGCAGTTTGTGTTTACATAATGGTTCTCCTTGTTTGGACTTCCCTTAGGCAGCGTGCTCTGCCTGCTCACACAGACTAAAGACCCGCAGGCAAGCCACACAAGCTGTCTCCTCCATAGAGAGCAAGTGTCTTGTTTAGGCTCTGCCTGCCTGGCCAGTCACACCCCACTGGATCTTTCTTTGGTAACTGCCTCCCTCTAGTGGTACAGCTCTGTGGTTTCTTTACCTAGCCTCTAGCTCCACAGAACTCAGGAATTTGGACGGGGGACTGAAGAGAAAAACAAGGCGTGGAACTTCTAGATGGCCCCAGTTTGGCCTAAAACATCAGATTCTGGCTTTACTTCACACCACAAAGAGGCAGGTGCCCGCTGCTCAAGTCCTTGTTATGTGGGGTCGTTAGTGCTTGAGACCATAGAGTACGGCTCTTGTCAGGTTCTGGTAAGGAAAGCTCCCTCCTTTCAGTCAAAAGCACACCCCAGCCGGCTACCTTAGATCAGCCAGCATGGTGTCCTAAACTTGTGAGAGGAAAATCTTTTCCTAATCCCAAGTCTGCATTTAGAACAAACAAAGCAAGTGCCGGGGAAGGAGGAACAAGAAAGTGGATCTTCCTGTGACCAAGCTGAGAGCATCGCGAGGGAAAGCAGTCTGAAGAAAAAGGCAAGCCCCTCCCGGAAAAGGACAGTCATCTCAAGGTCTTGTCTTACTCCAGTCTCACAACCCAGCCCCCAAGACATGCCACCAAAGGGCCTGTCACAGTGAATCCGTCATCACTGCCACTAACTTGATATCCACATTGATGCCACGCTCAATATTTAGTGGTTTGGGTGGAGTCAGGCAGTTTTGGAAGCTTAACGGGTAGACATCAATCAGCTAAGCTGGTTTTCTCAGGGGGAAGAAGGTAAATCAGAAAAATAACATCATTGGTACCAAGAAGACGATGTTCTCCGAGTTCAAAAGGAACAATATCTGCAGACAGATACCCTCAACTGTGTGTCTATCTGCAGACATGATTGTTGGCATGTTATCGAAGTCATAAATTTTACTTACAGGGACCGTCCTTTTAGCTCTGTTCGGTCTTGGAACGTGACCCCTTGGGAGATCAGCTCTCCATTCTTTGGGGAGCTGACTGTATGGTGGTGTATTGTTTGGTACTTAGTGAGTGGCATTTTATAAATAGCTTGCTACAAAAATGCAGGGTGCATTATTTTTGAATTATATAAGAAATTTGGACTGGATGACAGGACGCAAATGAAAAATTGATATGATACTAAAATAAATGTAAGACACATGGTGTCTTCTTTGATATCGCCTTTAGTTCAGCTTTTCATTCCACTGAAATTATAAATTGGAAGGCACCCTCAATAGAAGACTTATAATAAACACGGGCTTTTGATTCCTCCTTTGTATAGGCAAGAGGTAAACAGAGGCTTCAAGGGCACTTTTTGATCAAATGTTTTAAAGTTAAGGAGAATTTTCCAGATAGCACAATTTCCCTGAGACATGAGACAGTATTAAAGAAGTAGTCATCTGCAAATCATCTAGCTGTAAATAAAAATCTTGGAAGTAGCATAAACCCTCACACACACACACACACACACAGACACACACACACAACTGTTGTTGTCATCTTCCTCAGTAGGTTACAAAGATAACTATCAAAAATGGATAATAGCATGGGGGCTGGAGAGATGGCTCAGTGGTTAAGAGCATTGCCTGCTCTTCCAAAGGTCCTGAGTTCAATTCCCGGCAACCACATGGTGGCTCACAACCATCTGTAATGAGGTCTGGTGCCCTCTTCTGGCTGCAGACATGTACACAGACAAAATAGTGTATACATAATAAATAAATAAATATTTAAAAAATGGATAATAGCAGAGATAAAAGAGCTGGGACCATAGCACAGTGGGAGAGTTCTTATCTAGCACTTATGAGACCCTGGGTTCTATCCCCGGCACAAAAAGAACAGATAGAAGCAAAGATAATTAATAAGCAATAGAGAAATCTGGAAGGGAAGTTTAGAGATTGGTAAGCGAAAGAACAGATTCTGACGCAGTTCTTTCTAAGGGCACCCCCTTTAAATTTGCAGCATTTACCACAGAGTGCTGAAGATTCACCATTTACCTAGTTATCACTCTCTCTGTTGCACTTGGTACTGCATGCACACTGATATCAAAACATGCAGCTGTCCTGGTCCCTCGTACGGAAGAGCATGCATGCACCTTCCCACTTACTTTGATTTGCTCTAGGTTGCTGAAAGCACCACATATTCACTGAAGAGAAAATGTGATATAAAGAGCTGCCATTCTGGATTGTTTTTAAAGAACAACCGTAGGGGGAAACACGCGGGCATGTTCAGATGAATCCCTGACTCTCTGAGTATTTGGGGACCCATAGAGCCAGGGACCCTACCACTCTGTTTTGCTACTGTAAGCTAGAAAGTGAGAGGAGCAGAAAGCTGGTCAGGCTGAACTTCCCTTTAAGGCGGCAGTTCTCGGCCTCCTGTGGGTCCCTTTGGGGTCGAACGACCAGTTTACAGTGGTCACATATCAGATGTCCTACAGCTCAGATACTTACATCTTGATTCATAAAAGTAGCAAAATCACAGTTACGAAATAGCAGTGAAGACAGCTTTATGGCTGAGGGGTCACCGCGACATGAGGACCTGTATTCAAGGGTCGCAGCGTTAGGAAGGCCGAGGACCACTGCTATAAGGAGTCATATGCGTTCTGAGTCCTCAAGCAAACCACTTGCCAACGAGAGCTGAAATGCCTCCGTCCCTTTCAGAGGGGGTTGTTGTGAGGATTCGACAAAATTTGCAAAACATATTGTGCTTATTTAATAATACGTTTCTTCCTGCCTTCTCAACTGTGTTGACTTATCCAGATGAAAACATCTGAGTCATAGGCTTTTAGTCGAAACAATAGAAATTCATCAGTTTTGGTGAGCGCTCTGATAAAGGGAGCCCCACTTTCCTTGGCAACAAAGGAAAACGCTCTTTCAACATATTATTTGGTGATGTTTCTTGAGCAAATAAACATTCATTTGCTTTTCTTACACACAGATTGAAAATTAATCCCCACTTAAAAACTCAGAAGCCCTGATTTCCTAGAGGCGCATTTCTAAGTCTCCTGTCTCGGCGCTCCAATGTGGGTACATTTCATGACACAGTCTAAGGTAGGGAGCTACAGGAAGAGCTGACGCTGAACCCAGCTGGGCTGGGAACGACTCGCGTTAAACAAGAAGCCCAAGAAATTGCGAAGTGAAATTCCTACTTGATGCTGGTGAGAACGAGGACCCCGGGAAGCCCGTGAGATAGCACAAGGTTTCTATTCAACCTCAGAGCTTCAACTGTGAGGCTTAGTCGCTCTGATAACCAGGTGAAAACGCTTTCTGAGAAACCTCCCTTGGATATTCAGATAGCACACATTCTCATCCCTGGGGCCTGCGCCCTGAGCTGCCTGGCAATGCCTCCTTGCATTGTTCTCGTGGGGTCTTCTTTCTGAAGCTATTATGGCTGAACAGTGTGGAGGGAGAGGCTTCGGGGAAGGACGATATTCTCTCTGGCGTTGCTCTACACAGCACCAAGCTCAATGCAGTGCCAGAAATGGATACATTATATGCCACAAGATGTGTGATTAGTCAATAGAGAGAAAAAAAGCCATACACTGCCATCTTCCACAAAAAGGGAGAACACGCTATTGTAGACATGATACCATGTGAAAGGTTAATCATAGTCTGGCAATTACAGTGTTGGATGCAAACATACTTTTGCTGAGGCTGTGAGTTTCCTTGATTAGAAGCTCTGCTCCCCGCTGGGACCTTCTCCAGCACCAAGACATCTTGGTCATGTTCTTTAAGTCTGACTGTATTCGCCTCAACGTCCTGCAAACACAAATTATACCACATACAGATGCTGCCGTTCACTCAGACAATGACAGAAATTTCCAAAGCTTCAGAAACTCATTTGGCGCTTGTGATGTTAATTGTCGCGTCTACAAATTAAGCCATTTTCAAAGTCAAGGGCTGGAACGGTCAGAGGGAGGACCAGATGAGGTTTGAAGCATATGGTCTGAAAAACTGCTTTTTTACCCTAGTCTCAGAAAATCTCCAGAGGGGCCTGGTGTGGTGGTGGGAAATCTCTAGGGAGGGCAAGGAGCAGGCTAACTGAGAACCAGAGGCATTTGTTCTTCCTAGAAATATGTGGCAAACAGCACCAAGCTTCAGCAAAGTCCTTTCCTATGATCCTTAGGAGTGGCTCATCTATCTATATAAGCAACTGCTTTGTTTTGATTTTGACACATGTGGGATGTGTGTGCATCCATGTTCCTTTGTGTGCACTCCACCTGTGCAGGTGTACACACAGAAACCAGAGGTCTACACCTCAGCCCTCTCCACCTATTCTTTGAGACAGAGTCGCTCACCGAAACTGGAGCTCTCTGACTCAACTAGGCTGGCTGGCCAGTGAGCCCCAGGGGTCCGCCTGTCTCTTTCCCAGCTCCAGGGCTACAGATGCACTCTACTGTGGTTGGCTTCCTAGGTGAGTTCTGGGGTTCTGAACTCAAGGCCTCTGGCTTGTGCAGCAAGCCCTTTATGGACTGAGCCATCTTCTGAAGCTCAAGCAACAGCTCTTTCAAAATCAAACTGAAATGCGATCCAAGCCCTTTTCAGTTGTTTTGCACGGCTTTATAAATGATGTCAGGGATAAAATCGGTCCAAACATGACTCTCTCAAATAATTTTTTTGGCAGAGTGTAACCTCATGTGTATAAACGCCAGAGTTAGTCAAGTTCACCTAAACATTAATATACTTTAAAATAGTCACTCTGAAAATTTTACTAGTTTTTCTTAATATTTATTTATTAAACTCACAGCCTCATGGAAGAGATTTTGAGGCTAGCCTTTCAACAATAATATTTTGCCTCCATTTTAAATGACACTAGATAAAGACCAGATTCCTATGACACCTTTCCCTATATTAACCAAAGGTATAAATTTTATTATTACTAGTTCATTATTCATTATCATCATCATTATTATTGTTTGTTGTTTTGTTTGTTTTGATTTTCGAGACAGGGTTTCTCTGTGTCACCCTGGCTGTCCTGGAAATTGTTTTGTAGACCAGGCTGACCTCAAATTCACAGAGAGCTGCCTACCTCTACCACCTGAGGGCTGGTAAGATTAAAGGTATGCGCCACCACCGCCTGGCAGATGAAAATACTTCGTTGGGCCACTAGACTAGGTATTAATTTCCATTGACAAGCACTCAGAAAATCGAGATATGAGATTAGATATGAAAATGGCTCAGAATTGGGAAGAGCTAGGACATGGACCATAGAGAAGACATGGGGCCAAGGGAAGCCGCCACTCTGCGGGACAGTAGGGTAGAAAAGGCCGTAAAAAAAAGGACATAATCAAGACCAGTGAGAAGCTTCTTATTAGACTTTGATATTTTGCTAAGGCAGCTGCTATTATTGTCCATTCATATGGAGCAGTATAGGCACATGTAGAAGTATTTGATACAGAAAAAATATTGGATGTCTGCTGCGGGTCTCCAGACGGTACACCAGCACACAGAGAGCAGGCCCGTGTCACAGCTGAGGCCCTTGGTTCAAGCATCCCTTTGCCGCAGTCCTGTGGGGTGAACAATCCGCTCAACCCCTTTCTTCTTCAGGAAGGGGAAAAATAGGATATCCTTCTGCCAAGTGTGGGCTCCCAACTCACCCTCAAAATCCGGTTGAAATCTTCCTTGTCGACTCTTAGGAAGTGACAGTTGTCTTCTCGGAGAACAATGGAGGCCGCTCGCGGGGCGTCATTCACAAGGGCCAACTTGCCAAAGTCATCTCCCTCGTGCAGGGTGCAGACCACGCCCTGGGAAGAGCAGGACATTCAGATAAAACGGGTCGGGCCCCCTCCTTCCTCCCCCCCCCAATACCACGGATATAAATGGGCTGCATCTAGTATTACATAATTCAATTAAAATGGCTCAATTTTTTTTTCACGGAGTAAATACAGTCAATGAATGGCTGAGAGCAATAATTGAGAAAATTAATGATCAAAGATGAAATTATGTCTTTTCTACAGGTAGTAACAATGCCATGGTAAGTTTGACTGCAGCAACGTTTGTTACTACTTAGAGACACACTGGCAAATGGAACACAATTAAGTTTCAAAAAAGAAGACGATATATATAGATATATACCTTGCCATAAATGACTACATTCACCGATCCTTTTAGAATAATGTACCAGGAGGTACCTTCTTCCCCCTGGTTAAACACTAGACACAAAAAGATAAAGAGACTTATGACAAGAATAGAAGCACATCAATATAAATTACAGCTTATCAAATCATCACTTTTAAGTCCCCAGAATTACGCATACATAAAATACAAAAAAAAAATTACTGGCAAATCCTAACTAATTCAGGTGGAATATCATTGTCTTTCTATGGAACATGAAAGGACAAGAGATGGTACGATTTGCTCTGCCCTGAAAGGCAGGTGTTTACTGGGTATCAGTTTACCAACCAGCCATTTCCTAATGGAACGCATGTTTCCCCCACAACTCATAAAGCATTGTGCCGTAGAAAATAGGTTTTAAAAGTGACCTGACCAGTAATGCAAAGTTTGAAAACATGCAAATCAGCGCTGTCGCATGTTGATAAATATATACCTCCATATATGCTTTCAATTGGTTAGATGATAACTAAGATATTCAGAGTAGGAACCCCCGGGGGGATGAGAGAAGGGCAGACTGAAGGAAGGGGCACGAGGCAGCTGGAGTGGGCAGTCTCATCGTTTGGGAAACATTTACACTGTTGTAGAGACGGAGTGCTTGATAAAAAAGGAAATATTTCAATAGTCTGTGTTTTCATCCAAAACATAAATATTTTATAATACAGTGGAAACAATGAGTGGATCTGAATGAAAGAATTAAAACACAAGCAAAAATTGAATTAGATGAAAAAGAATTAAGAGACAAAAATTAAAAAAAAATAGGAACGTGATTCTGAAGAGGCAAAGAAATCAGTCTCTTGCTGATGGAGGTGACAGAGTTAGAAACAAGGCTCCTAATGGCCAAAATTAACATATTTTAAGATACGATTTTTCAAAACGCATTTTGCGTCTATAATTCACATTTCCCATTTAATTTTAACGATTGTGATGTAGCTACCAAAGAGCAACCCTTTCCTGGAAGTTTGTCTCATTGATGTCGACTAGCAAAGTGTTCTGTGTCACCGGGTTTAGGAAGTGCCCGTTTATCCCTAACTGTCATTTTCTCTTTGGCACAGAACCCCTGAAAACCTTTGCCTGCTGATTCACCTCCTGATTCTGCCACTGATTAGACAAGGGGGCATTTCCTGGCCTTAACCCCAGCTGTGGGAGGATTTTGTAGGACTAGCGGAAAGACCAGCTTCCGGGAACACCGCTTGTCTCTATTGGTACCAGAGTTTCTTGCCTCCAGGAATGAGCACAGGGCTGGATGAGAGAGAGATGCCCCACGTGATTGACACAGTGGAAGTGTCTGAGGCCAAGAAATCCTCCTGGGCTTGGAGCCCATGGTGCAAAGTGAAGAAGCCCATGAAACACAAGACTTTAACTGTAACAGGAAATTTCATAAGCCAAGCTAGTTCTTTAAAAAGTTAATTTAAACTCTTTTGTGACTGGCTTTCATGTAGCTCAGGCTGGTTTCAAACTTGCTATTTAGCCAGGGATAACTGTGAACTTCAAACTCTCCTACATCCATCTTCCAAGTGCTGGGATTATAGGCATGAGCCACCCTTCCAGTTCCATCCCCTGGTCCCCTGGGGTTTACGCAGGGCTGGGGATAGGAACCAAGGGACTGTTTCACATGGGCTAGGCTCTGCTAACTGGATTATCCCCCAGTCCCAAATTAGTTCTTCCAAATCCACAGTTTGAAATGAAGTCACGATGGAAGCTACCACCCACAGCCCTGTGAGAAGAGCAGAGACTTCATCCCACCCATTTTAGACACTGTTGAACCAGTGGGTAGACAGCCAGGAGGACCAGGCAGGCAAGTGGTACACAGATGGTGCTGGGAAACCACCAAACTTCAGATTAACGGATGCAGCTGGAATAGCCACAGGTCCAGAGAAGGGAGAGTGCCCCGTGCCATCCTTCCAGGATGGGACCAACAGGGAGAGTATGGCATTGACCTGGAATAGCATACAGTGCGGTCAGTGCTTCATTGGGGCTCACACTTACGCACAGTTCCTCCTTTGGCATGAGACTCGAAGATGAGAACCCCCGCTAACTCCCGCTTCACCTAGAAGGGAAAGAAGGGCTGTGGGCAGGTGAGGTAAAGGAGAGGGGACTTGTGTTTTGTGTGGGTGCCCATCAGCTGTTGTCCCCAGGCTCACCTCAAGCTGTCTCTCTCACCTCGGTTATACTAACTCCTGTCATCCAGAACTACTTTCACTAGACTGGGATCTTTGCTGCTGGGATCTCAAGGTCTATACTAAAACAATAGAAACACTTATAACAAATTCCCATCAGGCAGCCCCTGGGTGACATTTATCGATCTTGTGGGGTGCCAGCAGGCCACAGTGAACATGCGTGAGAGTTTGCTCTCTCCTTCCACCGTGAGGATTACTGGAATGGAGTTCGAGTCTCAGGTCTGTACCTACATCCATGCTGGGTCATTTCTTAGGCTCAGATACTGTTTTTTGTTGGTGGTCTGTGATTTTTTTAATTAATTAATTAATTAATTAATTTTTGTGTGTGTACAGTGTTTGAATGTATGTCCATGTGTCACAGCTTAAGAGATACTTACTGTGGTAGAAAGATGGGATAAGGCTTTGATATGAAGAAGCTCATCATAGATAATCTCTAGGTCATCCACAGTCCTCTGGCCAGGCCTACAGAGAAAGACAATGACGACACATGTTGTTATACAAGATTCAAATAAGGAAACAGATCCCGTGGTCAGTAACATGTCCAGGGGTTTGTTCTACATGGGAAGATGCTGACTGAGGGAGACATTGTGCCATAACAACTCCTAAGGTACCAGAAGTGAATGTACTCACTAGTGGGAAGGATATGGGAGGAGCTGCGTGTACCCAGGCTCCGTTCCCTTCCAATCTCAGGGGGACAATCACCCCTACATGGTCATTGGTTAACTTACCTGAAACTTCATAGATAATTATAAAACTTTGTTTCCTATTACATCCTTCATCAACAATGATAAAACTTGCTTCTAACAAGGGGACACTTGGCTGATGAACTTGACAATGGATTCACATTCCCTGAACTCTGGTGTAGGATCTTAGCCTAACGAAAGGGTGACATCGCTGCTCTTACTGCTCCAGGTTACACATGATAGTCCTCCCAGAGGACTCCAATAATGGAATGATTTCTTACCCAACCCTAAGGAGCCATGTGCCATTCGGTGAGAACAAGGCAAATCACAGCGCCTGGGATTTCAAAGAGAGGGAAAGGGAAGTACGCCCATATATCTGAAACTCTGTTCTATGGACTACCATGGCCCACAAAGGGTTAATGATTTGTGTTACTGATTTTTTTTTTAATGCCAAAACTTAGTACTATATAAAGTTAGAAATATACTTCTGATGTGTGGAGTAAGGGGTTATTTTTCACATAAGAAGTTTGAATAAATTCCTAACCGCTTTTTGTGTCTAAAATTATTTTGGAGCCACTAAGGGCATTCGATAACATTAATGATAAGAGATAAGATTAGTCAGTAATTTGGTTTTTTTTTATGTTCCTTGCAATATAAGGAAGTCTGACTAACATGTTCTTGAAAGTTGTAGCTAGGTTATTATTAATCCTGAGAAGGCTGGGAAGTTAGAGAAAAGGCGTGTGCAGCGACACTCATCTTCTGTGGGGACGAATGAGGGTGCCCCCCTCCCAGGCTCCTATATTTGAACTCCTGGTCTCCAGTGGGTAGAACCGTTCGGGAAGGCTTAAGAAGTGTGACTTTGTCGAAAGAGGTGTGTCGCTGGGGGTGGGGTTGAGGTTTTAAAAGTCCATGCCATTCCCAGTTAGCTTTCTCTGCCTTGTGGATTTGTTTCAACACGGGAGCTCTCAGCTACTGCTCCAGTGCCATGCCTGCCTGCCTCCTGCCATGCTCCCCACCGTGACGGTCCCGGACTCTAACCCTCCGGAACCGTGAGCTTTCTTTTATTAATTGTGTTGGTATGGTGTTTTATCGCAGCAATAGAAAAGTAACTGCGACACCATCCCTTTAGCCTTCCATGGAAAAAACCAGAGATGGTTCCTTCTTGAGAGAGATGTGAGATTTAGGCAGAGCCGTGGGTGTTAACGTACCTCCATAGTTATTCGTGTAAGTGGAAAACAAAACCCAGCAACATGCTACCCAAACCTCAAACCAAAGTGAAAAAAACTTAAGGTAGAGTATGGCGCTTAGTCCAGTAATTTATATCTGGGACTTAAATCAATTGGGGAGTGTTCCGAACTGCGTTGTAAATATGCTGGAATGGGTAGCTGGGTTAAATAAGTTTGCAAACACATAATCGCACAAGGTAAGTGTCAGGCCTACTTGGAGACAGCTGGGGGAAGAAAACATTAGAACTCACACATGACCTTCATAAGGGCAGCTTTGTCATGAACAAAAGAATTCTACGTCCTTGTTACACAGACTCAAAGGAAGATGACCTGTTTATTAATCCTAACTGCACAAACACGAAATCCAGGACTTGGGAGATGCTGACCATATTCATTTCCTGCCAAGGATCATCACTGAAGAACACAATGGCACACTGGTCTAGCGCTTAGCCCTGTCACCTAGGAAGTGTAGACCCTCAAAAGACACCGAAGAGAAGTTGGGGCCCCAGGGGTGCCAAAGAGCCAAGCCCTCTTAGCAAGTACCCAATCTACCACTTGACTTACACGTGGGGATTTTGCAGCGAGTACCCTTGGGGATTTAAAAGTCAATTAAGTCCGCCCCGTGCATCTGCGGCCTTAGAGGCGGCCTTGGGGGAAAGCCCAGGTAGGTATAATAGGATTACAGCTCTTCAGCCGGAGGAGCAGCGGAGAGGCCCTGCTGTTTGGGCTTCTTGACTTCAGCTGCGACAGCACAGTTGTTCCTAGATGTTTGTCTAAAACAGAGGGAAAGACTGGACAGCCTCAGGCTGGAGAAATACTCTTTATCTTAGCAATAAATGGGAAGTAGAGGCATGACCTCTTTGACCCCAGAGCCTGCTGGGAAGAAACCTAGTAGAGAGGTCCACCTTACTGCTTGCAGGAAAGGCTCTTGTGGGGTACCACTAGAATACAGACACCCGAGTGGTAGCCTGCCCCAGCCCTGGCCATCTATCTTCAGTAACCAACCCATGGGAATAATACCTTCTGCAGGGACTGACCAAGTGCTGTGGTGAAATACGGGGGGGGGGGGGGGGGGGGCTTTGAAACCAAATCAAACAATGTCTAAACACGGGCTAGCTTTCACTAAAAAGAAAAACATTGCAGCAACAACAACAAAACAATTCCGTGGTCTCAAGTGTTCAATGAGAAGACCAGGCTGGCAGCTGCCATTTGGCAATAGACGGAGGTTGCCAGGAGCTCTTTGGTCCTGTATACAGCAAATGCTGTAATGAGGTAAGAGAAGTCAAGGTTGCAAGACAGGAAGAGACTGACTTCTTAAAAAACGAGTCTATTCACAATTCACAAGTGATTAAAAAAAAAAAAAAAAAAACACATTCGTAAGAGATTTGCCCAGAGCCAGGACCCTGTCCCTCTGGGGCCTCAGCATGTCATTAGGATTGACGGTTGAGGTTCATGCTAGGGAGAAAGCCAGACGGAGCTAAAATCAGTCTCGTCAACCTGCACCCACCTAAGCAAATCAAAACGTGAGTCCCTCTCCTAGCCTGAGTGAATCTCAATGTCGGCCAGCCGTAGGAGTAGCCACAACGCATCTGGCTGCTCCCAAGGGCACCAGCTCAAGGCTGCTGTGCCATCTAGTGCCTTTGGGAAGGTTCGTCTCCCCTCTCTTGCTCTCAGGTGGAGGTACTCCCATTGATCTGCCCCAAGCCCTCAAAGAGCACCTGAGAACATCTAACACTGAACCTTCCCCATCACAACCTCTGAACAAAGTCATAGTTTTAAACGAGGGTCTCTCATAGCGAATAGTGGCATTAGGCACCTTTTGTGCTTTGGTCTTTATGGGGGTGACAGGAGGAAATGGAGAAGCGATCCTACAAATTAGTCCCCAGCCTGTTCAAACGGCCATGAAAAGGTCCCAAGGGCTGAAGGCAATTTGGCTTTTAAGAGGAAAAGGAAACGGGGTGCGCGGGGGGAGGAGATAACTCCCATGGACCTTCAGAAGGGGAACCTACAAGGCCGGGGAAGTGAATTGACTCTCTGGATGTTCTGAGTGGCAGCTGGTGAATGTCCCTGGTCTTTACTTGTCCTTCTCTGGATGTCACAGGGAGAGATGTCAGGCATCCCTGCTTCTTTACAAAACCTGCGTGGTGCCAGACTGATGTGGATTTGCTGCATCCCGCTGGGGAAAGGCCTAGTTTCTGCAAGGGCTGCATTCTGGCAGTGATGTCTAGTTACAGACAAGATAATAAACGGGGATGGAGGGAGAAGCAGTTTGTACATTAAAGGATGGGTGGGCTCAGGTGATATTGGATGCTGCTGGTAAATACCGCTTTATCAAGGAATTTATCAAGGTCAGAGGCAGTTCCTCAGCTGTCGGGGTGTGGGTAAAATGAGGGATTCACCCATTTACCCAGAAGCATGTAGGCATGGCTGGGGGTTGGGGGAACAGGACAATATGCAGCTGAGAAAGAAAACTGGTTCCAGTAGACCTGCCATCTGGTAGACCCAGATTGGTGTGGACAGCACTCAAGAAAGTCAACAATAGAAATACAAGCGCAAGTCATGTTTAAGCTTCTAGTTTTCAACAAGTGCTTTGTTTACCTCTGGAGGGACGTTTGTTTCTGATGGAGGATTTTACCACAATCCACCTGACACTCTATTTGTACGTCATGTTTTAGCCTCCCATCACTTTCAGGTGCTCTTGAGACTGTATAAATCTTACTTCTTCCAACCTCCTTAAAAGGAAGTGTGGTAGGGATCTGTGCTCTTGTCTAGAGAAACAGGTTGCTGTTGTTTGTTTGTTTGCTTGCTTGCTTGCTTTTTCCACCTCCCAATATCCTTCTTCATGAATGTCAGGGGCATTACCTGTGACTAACAGGGAAGTGCCCTGCCCAGCTGCCACCCTCTCAAATTAACCACTGAGAAGTTTGCCAGATGCAAGTAGCTATTTTTCGTTCTAACTGGCAAGTCTATGTAGTGGGGCTTTGCATGTCTCTATGAGATTAGAAACCTATATAAACTCTCAGCAAACAGCAAAAACTTTCTGCTTGTAAGAAAGAGTGCCATCCCATAAGACATGGGATGCCAGTTCTACAGGTCAGATACTCTACACCCTAAATGCTTTTAGGACAAGGTGTTTGGTTGAGCTCAGGAATAGAATATGCCTAATATTCTTCCAGAAAATGTCTTACAAGAACACTCTACTATTTAAAAAACGAAAGAATTGTTTGTTGTTATCTTCTTTGTATGGGTGAATTCTTACATGTGTGTATGAGCACCATGCTCCTACCTGGTACCCAGAGCCCAAGAAACCCAGAAGAGGTTGTCAGAACCTCTGGAACTGGGATTACAGGCAGTCGTGAGTCACCATGAAGGGATAAGAACTAAACTACAGTCCTCTACGAGAGCAGTTAAGTTCCCTTAGCCACTGAGTCATCTCTATAGCCCCTAACATCAAACTTTGTAATAAGTACAACTACTGATATTTTCCTTTGAAATACCCAAGTATTAAGTGAAGGAGGACACACAAAAATTAGGAAGGATTCAGATGGAAACT